CTAATAAATTGTTAAGCACTGTATGTTTTGTTTTACACATTTGTTTGAAGGACATTGGGCAGAATGTGGAATAGTATGTTTTTGTCACCCCAGACAATAATCCAATTCCCACAATTCCCTACATTGCTAATGCACAGGCCAAATCTCCAAATAGAACGCTGCATAGGTCTGTGACAAAAAAAAGTAACCTCTTTCATTCCAGTGATAAAATTTTTTAACACTTTTCAAAACTGTCTGAACAACTAAATACTCATAAATCCAAGGCACTCGAGTAGTGTGAAAAAATTAAAAAGCCTTTATTCACATGGCTTTAAAATTTAAAAACAACACATTTGTGCACAGATGCGTTGCGGCTAACTCGCCTTCATCAGGGTGTCAATTTAGTTCATTTAAACAATCAGTTCGTCACATGACAGTCACCAGAACAGGTATCAAAGCAACAACGAGAGAGTTAATTATAATTATAATCATTCCCAATAAATTCAAAACAATTAAATTACAAGCCATTACAATTAGTCAAAACGTACATAAACAATGCATGCAAGCTGTTATCAAAGGCAAAGGAGGCCATTTTTGTTATTATGTGAATAAATACTATTTAGTTGTTTAGGTTTGTTATTTGCCTAATAAATGACAATAACATTTTTAGATTTAAACATTTTTTTGACAGATTCCTAAAATATTTGTGTTTTCTCTATTATGACAGGTGGTCTAATAAATTGTTAAGCACTGTATGTTTTGTTTTGCACATTTGTTTGAAGGACATTGGGCAGAATGTGGAATAGTATGTTTTTGTCAATAAAAATGAATTGCCATCAGTCACCATTCAAAGCTTTGTCAGGAAGTTTAAAAAAATCTAGTATTTTTTTTTAACCTGTGCCCATAATAACACGTCTCTAAAATAAAACGTGCTTTGAAACTCTATTATCATCTAACAGCTGCTGTCTTTTGGCACCTGTCTTGTGTGCAGAGAGGCAGGATCTGAAACGCGGCGGGGACACATTAAGGCATGAGTCTTTGAAAAATAATGATTATCTCCTATAAAGTGAGGGGAACATGGCCCCCTTAAATAATAATGGTTTCTACACCCTTGCTTATCGATGCGCCATCATGAGGGTCTAGGACACAGGACATTTCTATAATGTATAATTTTGTCTAAGACAGGGCTTAGACTAAACTTCTTTAAATGCATGATGCAGATGTCTATTTCCAGTCTATATTACATCTACTGCACGATATTTTCCTACCACTTGGGTTTAATAGGTTGAGTCACATTTGGAGACAATATACTGTAAATGAGTGACTATAATAGTTATGCCACCCACACACTTTATACAAAGACAATGAGCTTTAATTGAGCCCAAACAAAGTTAACTCCACGTCCTCCATTATCAGGACCAAGCCACAATCTACGGGCACCATGATTATTGTGAAATAAGAAACATTTTCCACTTGCATCCTAGAAGAGATCCTAAAGTACTCTTGGGACACAAGAGTGCACCAGACAACGTTGTCCCAAATTTCCCAAGAGAAATCTGCATGTCTGTGAGAACATTTTGCTGGTTGCTGTAGAAGGATCTGGTGTATTCGAGACGGTGATTGTGCGACATTTTTCCAGATGCGACCCAGGGTATTCTCAGGACTATGCCTGAGTCCCTCTACTGCATATTTGTTTAAGTTCCCCAGACAATAATCCAATTCCCACAATTCCCTACATTGCTAATGCACAGGCCAAATCTCCAAATAGAACGCTGCATAGGTCTGTGACAAAAAAAAGTAACCTCTTTCATTCCAGTGATAAAATTTTTTAACACTTTTCAAAACTGTCTGAACAACTAAATACTCATAAATCCAAGGCACTCGAGTAGTGTGAAAAAATTAAAAAGCCTTTATTCACATGGCTTTAAAATTTAAAAACAACACATTTGTGCACGGATGCGTTGCGGCTAACTCGCCTTCATCAGGGTGTCAATTTAGTTCATTTAAACAATCAGTTCGTCACATGACATAGTCACCAGAACAGGTATCAAAGCAACAACAAGAGAGTTAATTATAATTATAATCATTCCCAATAAATTCAAAACAATTAAATTACAAGCCATTACAATTAGTCAAAACGTACATAAACAATGCATGCAAGCTGTTATCAAAGGCAAAGGAGGCCATTTTTGTTATTATGTGAATAAATACTATTTAGTTGTTTAGGTTTGTTATTTGCCTAATAAATGACAATAACATTTTTAGATTTAAACATTTTTTTGACAGATTCCTAAAATATTTGTGTTTTCTCTATTATGACAGGTGGTCTAATAAATTGTTAAGCACTGTATGTTTTGTTTTACACATTTGTTTGAAGGACATTGGGCAGAATGTGGAATAGTATGTTTTTGTCAATAAAATTAAAATAAAGAAAATTGGGTTTTAAAAAAATCGCTTAAATTGAAAAAATAATCGGCCAACTAATCGATTATCAAAATAATCGTTAGTTGCAGCCCTACAACCTTCGCAATCATTGCACAATCCAGGGCAGAACTATAAAACAAACAATAGATGCAAATATGTCCTCTGGGCAGCTGCATGACAAGGATGATGTAACCAAAGTCAGATCACATTCACAGCTATTCTTACCCCGAAACTATTTCAGGCTACATTTTTCTGAGCTCACTCAAATGGAGCACAGGGTAAAAATAAATCAAGCCATAACCAACTGACATTTGCATAATACACTGGCCATCATGATGTGAGAAAATGTGGTACAATAGTACCAGGGCTGCCACATGTCCGGAAACATCCATGAGGTTAAATACCTGTAAGTGGTACCTCACAACAGAGACGAGACTTTCAAGAATGTACACCTGCAACATCTACATCTATTTTTTTAACCTTATATTATTTCCTAAGCAAGTTAATAAGCAGAAGTTAAAAGCAGCTCGTAAGTGTATTTACTTGTCTCATTAGTGTGTAGTGCAGTTGTTGTTGCTAGGAAACGCTTGTTTTGTTTACTGTGTGGAGACGTGCTGATATCGCGTTTGGTCTCGTTCTGTATCGCGTATCTTGTCAGTGTCTGCGCTTGCTTGGCCATTTGTTGTGGAGAAAATAAGGAAAGTGTGTCCAGCTGAATTAATGTAGTATTTTGTTAGAAGGGTATAAAAAAAACTGTACCTCTGAGAGCTTAATATTCAGTAATATATTTATTTGACTACACTGTGGAATTAGAAAACTGTTCTTAGCTGAGTAATGACACTATTGTCTTCAGTTGAGCTGCTTATTACTGAATTGAACTTTTGTAATTGATAAACATTACTGAAATGAATTCATCCAACACTGTACTGACTGGAGCTGAATAATGGCACTATTGACTTTTTAGAGTTGCTGTGCATCAAAAATTGGATTGGTCTTAAATTGATGAAGTTGGCATCTAGGGCTGAAACAATTCCTCGAGTAACTCGAGTACCTCGAATACAAAAAATCATGGAGGCTAATTATTTTCCTCAAGGCTTCGTTTAGTCAATTTACTGTAACTACACACGGAACACTGTGTTTCCCCACGGACCATTATTACTGATGCACAAACCTATAAACGCAAAACATATTTAAACCGTAAATCAATATGGTGTCTAGTTATGATGTCCCTACGTTAGCTATGTTTTGTGAAAGACTAAGCGCCATTCATGTTGATCGTCTCATTCTCTCTCTCTGTGGCACACACACAGACACACTCACCATACAGTTATGCATAAAAAATACCACAGAAAGTTAGTCAATATCACACAAAGAGTGCCAGTTTTCACCTCTAAAAATCAGCAAAAAATATCAGTATTCAATGTTTTATGTTTAAAATAAAATATTATTTATGCATTTGTAACTGCAGGTTAAATGCATTCATGTCCCTATGAGCTGAATAAAATAGTGTAAATAGGCCTACATCTAAATGCCTCTTCAGATACAGCTTCTGTGTTTCCTCTGCATTGCAAAGATGAATTTTGTTTATGCTGATATCATTTGTTTGGTAATTTATTTGTTTGATTTTGATTGGCTTTGCATCCTGGCCGCATCATCACCTCGGGTGTGCATTATTTTTCTAATAATTCAACAGCCTGTCGTCAATTATTCCTTAATTAGGCTAATGCATATACTTGCCAGCCAATCAGAATCAAGTATTCAGACAGACCATGATATAAATATATACAGTATATACATGTAGCTAGACTATATGCAGTGAGATGTGAGATGAGTATTTTCTCTTCCAGTACATTCACAGAGAGTCCTGTGTATTTAAAAAAACAAAACAAGGTGGCCCTGTCCCGTCACGGGCCTCTGTCCAAGCATTCCTGAGTGTCATGGCATTAGATATCACCCCAAAGGGCAAAACGCAGCAAAGGGTACAATGTGGACTTAGAATTTAAAACTGTCACGACACGTGACAGGCAAGGTGTCTTGAGACCACTGACACGCTTTGCCTCTTTTCAATGAAACGGCACCAGATTTCACTTGTGCAAATAAAATTTCACACTATACTGTGTTCCCAAGGCAATGTTTTGAAACAGAACACACCGAGCAAACACTAACACCAAGCCAAAGTATACTGAATGAGTTACGTAGAATCTGAATCATGCTCCAAGCTTAAGAAAAACTGAATTAGATCAGATACACAACAGTGAGCACAAATACATACCGATAATATTGTAGCTCCTCTGGTGGTCCTCAGATTCACAATGTCTCCCCAGAAGTCCTGCATCATTCACAGACCATGGGGAGGGACTTTAAAACTTCGTCACTTGGAGAAAATCAGACAGCACTTAAGACCCCAAGAGCTTAAATGATAAGGTCCAGAAACATTGATCATTCAGCCAGCTCATAAAAACAGTCGGCTACTAGAGCTAACGATGAAAAACAATCAAAGGTCAACCTGAAGCATTAAATAATTTAGTTAAAATCAAAAAGGACTGAGACAAGCTACAATCAGGATCTGTGGGGAAGTCTCTACGCACTTCCTTAAGGTGGCAGTCTGCTTCTACCAAGATCAGGAGCAAAAGCGTCTCTGTCACAACTGACTAGGAAGCAGAAGTGAGAGAGAATCCTGCAAGATGCTGCCAGTACACGCTTCTCACGCTGACGTCGGACGGGTCTCACTCCTGGTTGCAAAGACCTAAACATGAGGTGTTATTTATATCCGAGTGTGAGGGTGTGTTGTTGTGAGCGTGCATGTGTTTTTCCACGAGTAGGGGTGAGTGCTTAAGTTCAAACAGCACAGGAGCTATACATGGCCTGAACGCTGGGAAGCTGCCGGGACAACGTGCCATTGCCCTGAGGTGTTAAAGGACATTCAGGGTTTGAAATAAAAAAAGCAATATCACAGGCTACTACTAAAGCTAGGATAATCACATTATAATCAACAAATCTGTCTACACTGCACAATGAATCTCTTATTTACACAGTGTCTACGCCTTTTTGATTATTATGGGGATGTTCTATTTTTGTTGCATCGCTTAATAATATTATTATAATAATATAATACAGTGTAAAATATATTGGAAGTTACATCACTGCAAGCAAATGGTGTGACAAGTATCAAATATAAAATCAGATTGCTTACTAGACTAATTTATATGCCCCTTACTCACCATTGCATTGCAAAAATAAAAAAACACTGCAAAAAAAACTCAAATTCTGCCATCATTTACTTATCCTCATGTTGTTTCAAACCTGTATAATGAATGTTGAACTCAAAAGAAGAAGAAGAAGAATGTTGCCAATTAAACAGTTGCTGGTAGTCATTGACTTCTAATTTTTTTCATACAATGGAAGTCAATGGTAGGGCCCTATGAAATCATTTATTTTTCCCAAATTCCATTTAATTTTTTTCCAAATTCCGTTTTTTCCATTTAAATTTTTCTGGATTCAGATTTTTTTCTTAATTTAATTTTTCTAGACTGTTTTAATGGTTAAATAAAATGTGATTAATTAAAAAGTATGTCTAATTGACAAAACTCATGAAACTTACAATATTTAACAGCAATTATTAAGTTGAACAAATATTACATTTTTAAGGCCCTATGGAATGTGTTTTTTTTTTCTCAAATTCTGTTTTAATTTTTACCAAATTCAATTTTCTGGTTTTGTTACATTTTAATAATCAAAAGCATCTCCAATTAATTGATTTTATAGAAAATAATAATTTATTATTATTCTTTAATCTATTTCGTTTTTCAGAAATACCATGTTGTGTGTTTACATTTTTCTATCTATAGATTTATTTAACTATAGTTTTTACATTAAGTAATATTTTTCGGTCACAGTTTCTTCAAGTTAAACCAAACGTTTATTTTGACGGGTTGCTGTGAAGACCTTTAGGTTTCTGTATATAATATGACGAAACTTTTTCTCAAAAGAAACTGTACAATTCTGTCCATGTTTTCCGCACCGAGGAAATCATATGGTCCTACAATGGCTACCACCAACAGTTTGGTTATCAACATTCTTCAAATGATCATCTTTTGTGCTCAACAGAAGAAATAAACTCATACAAATTGAAGGGGAGTCTTGATGACAATTTTCATTTTTGGGTGAACTATACATTTAAGCTAGCTAAATGAACGTGGCAAAAATGTTAGAGAAAAGAAATCATTTACATTTCTTTCAATAAAAGCAAGTGTAAAAAAAAATCCAGCAAAAAGTTCTGATATCAAATGTGATAAACAGAACAAATGTTTCATGTACACAATGCTATTAAGCAAGTAGGGGCAAGCACACTGATACTATGCTCATGAAGAGGAAGAACGCACACCTGTTGCCCCTGACAACAGAGTAACCTTTGTGGGAAGTCAGTGCCATTCAGCCAGTGAAGCTGTTAATGCCTGTAATTAAATTTGAGAAGCTACGCAGTCTATATGAATGGAGAGGGTTTAAGCAAAGAATAATCAAATAAAAAAGTCCCATTCTAATCTAGGAGGAACCACTGTTAGATGGAATGTCTGAAAGAAAATGTGGATGCATCAAGAATTCACTCATTAATATTAAGTGAATATTATCAGTTGAAGGGCTGGGCGATTTTTCAGATTTTATCGATTAATTAGAATTTAAAGTTTTGCCACGATTTAATTTTTTTTATAAATCGAGGAATTCGCGATTTTTTTTCACACAGAATGTGCTTTTGTGTTGAAAAGATGTGATGCGGGCAGTGGAATAGGAAAAAATGCAAGAAGATGGGAGATGAACATCTTTTAATAACTAGAGCACCGCGTTTTTAGAATGCCGTTTCATGCATGAGATGCTGTGAGACACACGAACGCAACAGTCAAACGCGTCCATGTTTATATAGAATAAACAATGGAAAAGCAGTGCAATCGAATAAAAAACCTGTAAAGAACTTCTACTGTATGTCTGATATTTGACAGGCTGAAAACTGCTGTTATAGTTAATAACAGTCTACTGGTGTTATACCTTCAGTCATTTTGAATTTGAATTACGTTGACTTTTAAGATTTTTTTAAAGCCTTTTTCTCATATTATTTCTGAACACATAATATGTATAAGACAAGTTTGTACAAGATGTAGTTGTAGTTCATCCATCTTTTCTGCAAAGATATTTAACAAGTGATTTGTTTTAGGGCTGCACGATTAATCGAATGTGATTGTCATGCGCATCTTGTCAGTAAAGCCGGTTCTGTAATCAGTAGTAAATCTCCATCACATGCTTTCAGATGGAGGAAAAAATGCAAGAAGATGGGAGATGAACATCTTTTAATAACTAGAGCACCGCGTTTTTAGAATGCCGTTTCATGCATGAGATGCTGTGAGACACACGAACGCAACAGTCAAACGCGTCCATGTTTATATAGAATAAACAATGGAAAAGCAGTGCAATCGAATAAAAAACCTGTAAAGAACTTCTACTGTATGTCTGATATTTGACAGGCTGAAAACTGCTGTTATAGTTAATAACAGTCTACTGGTGTTATACCTTCAGTCATTTTGAATTTGAATTACGTTGACTTTTAAGATTTTTTTAAAGCCTTTTTCTCATATTATTTCTGAACACATAATATGTATAAGACAAGTTTGTACAAGATGTAGTTGTAGTTCATCCATCTTTTCTGCAAAGATATTTAACAAGTGATTTGTTTTAGGGCTGCACGATTAATCGAATGTGATTGTCATGCGCATCTTGTCAGTAAAGCCGGTTCTGTAATCAGTAGTAAATCTCCATCACATGCTTTCAGATGGAGCAGCATTTACTACACAGAGCCGTAGTTCTCTGACAAGATACGCAAAATCGCGTTCATAATCGCTGACGATATAACCACTCAATTATAAAATCAAAGAAATCATTCTGCCATTATGAAAGCTGTTTGCGTAGCTTGTCAGTGAACTACGGCTCTGTGTAGTAAATGCTGCTCCATCTGAAAGAACGTGAAAATACCACATTTAATAACGTTTTTACTCCAAACTCACTTAATAACGTCAGTTGAGTGTTTGAAATAAATCCTTCTGTGAGATGTGGCGTCTTACAAAGAATAAGGCACGCAACATATTTCATAGTATTCTAAGCAGTGATAAAGGCTATGTCGATTAGCATTGCATTATTATATACTTTATTATAATAAAAATTATAATAAGACGAATTCAGACAAACCATATATTGTCATATTCGTGTGTTTATTAGTCACATTGAATTAATGAAAGCAGTTAAAGCTTCTGTTTATTCAGCAACAGATATAGGGATTTCCTGGATTTCTTCTGCAGGCGTATTTGGAGTTTTAGCACAAGAGCGCCCTCTGGTCTTCGGATGGAGATTTACTGCTGATCACAGAACAGTGCTTCACTGAAAGATACGCATGACAATTGCAGCTTCTGCCTAATCGCGATTTATCACCTTTGCGATTTAATTTCGATTAATCGTGCAGCCCTAATTTGTTTAACATTTACATCATGATTACAACTTAATGTGTGGTGCACTTTTAACTAGAGGGTTAATAAAGAAAAAGTTACTTGAATCATGTTGTAGTTACATTTTCAAGTTGACTAGTTATGTAACAAATGTAAAAAGAGGTGCTCTACCAACAGAAGAGGAGGTGCAACCAAAAATCAAAAAACATATGAGCTGAACAAAGGTGCAACACTCACTCTTCAAAGTTCAAGCTTTATTAACAAAACAACATGATTGTTATAGGAAACTACTTCTCAATCAGTACAATTAGTGGAGTTGCACACCTGTTGGTGATTATCAGACTGCACATAACTGTGTGAGATTGTTACTCTTGTTATCTGATGAAGGCCTTGGACGGCCAAAACGTCATGTTGTTTTATTAATAAAGCTTGACCTTTGAAGAGCGTGTGTTGCACCTTTGTTCAGCTCAAGTTGACTAGTTAAAAATCGTACAAAATAGAGAATCGGTCAAATGTTCTAAGAAAATCAAGATTTAATTTTTTTGCCATATCGCCCAGCCCTAATCAGCTGTCCTTGTGAAGTTCACTCAAATTCTTGAATCGATTTTGCTTGACAGCCCTCATTAGGCTGCGGTTCTCTTGGTTGGTTGTGCATTTTTTTCTTCTACACTTTTTCCTTCCACTCAACTTTCTGTTAACATGCTTGGATACAGCACTCTGTGAACAGCCAGCTTCTTTGGCAATGAATGTTTGTGGCTTACCCTCCTTGTGAAGGGTGTCAATGATTGTCTTCTGGACAACTGTCAGATCAGCAGTCTTCCCCATGATTGTGTAGCCTAGTGAACCAAACTGAGAGACCATTTTGAAGGCTCAGGAAACCTTTGCAGGTGTTTTGAGTTGATTCGCTGATTGGCATGTCACCATATTCTCATTTGTTGAGATAGTGAATTGGTGGGTTTTTGTTAAATGTGAGCCAAAATCATCACAATTAAAAGAACCAAAGACTTCAGTCTGTGTGCATTGAATTTATTTAATACACGAGTTTCACAATTTGAGTTGAATTACTGAAATAAATGAACTTTTCCACGACATTCTAATTTATTGAGATGCACCTGTACTCAGCATTTGCAAAATTTACCAAAATACTTCACCATATTTGAATTTTGAAACAATTCATGTGGGCAAGTGGTTTTGTGCCCAAAAAAGTCAACATACATTAACAGGTTACCATGTTCTGCTGTCTAAGCATCAATCATGCCAAAGCATTACTAGGGCCCTATGATATCAATTTTATTTTTTCCAAAGTCTGTTATTTTCCGTTTAAATTTTTCTAGAATTTGTTTGAAAGGGGTTATAGGATGCCCATTTTCCACAAGTTGATTTGATTCTTTAGGGTCATAATGAAAAGTCTGTAACATAATTTGGTTAAAATTTCTCAATGGTAGTGTAAAAAACACCTTTTTTACCCTGTCAAAAACAGCTCTTTTCCGTTTTTGTAACATTTTCCTTTAAATGTTAATGAGCTCTGCTGACCCCGCCCCTCTCTTCCGAGCTGCTCTAAGAGAGACTGTTTACTTTAGCCGCATTCATCGTGAAACTTGCTAATTAGCACATTATTAGGAAAGGCGATTTGCAAAGATTCATTACAAAACATTATACTCACTTGTTCTGTAGATGAGGCTGGATCATTAATGATTCGCTTGAACAGACGCATTTATGTAGATCGGGGGCGCATTCCCTTCAGAAACAATGTAATCCACTGCGAGTTCAGCGGCTCAGATATCGGGAGTAAATGAAGACTGCTATGTTCATTATTACATCCAACAACAGAACACCTCAATCGCTTAGGAGTCATTCTTGTCTACATCTGCTCCGGCGGTGAAACAATGGCGGACTGATGACAGCTCACTCAGGGTGGGTCTAAGGTAAGACACCAGTCCAGTCTGTGCTGAAATGCTACTGTCAATCAAACTATCATAGGAGGGGCCTGTCTGTGTGACGTCACACAGACAGGCATCTGCGATCGGCTCGATTTGAGAAAGGGGAAAACATTTAACCAGATAAAAAAAAAAAAACACTGGGGGGATTTTTATCATTATAGTGTGGTTGTGTGGTTGTGTACACACACTGCCAACACACATTTCAGTTCAAACAACTTGTAAAAGTGCATATAGCATCCTATGACCCCTTTAATAGTTAAATTAAAGGCGCTATTCATTCACACAGATACACGTTGAACATGCAGGATTCATATTTAAATTATATTTTTGCAACTTAATATTCATAGACACATATCGCGTTTTGGTCAAGTGTACTTGACCTACTTTTTATTTATTCATCAAAAATTTTGAAAATTCTTTGACATTACACGTTATACAGTAAATTCTGTTT